TATTAATTCAGGGATTTCTTTTTTTATTTCCAATCTGAGGTCCTCTTTACCTTTCTGCAGCTGTTTCTTTACTTCAGAAGTCGTGGATTCATTGCTTTCAGCTGTGTGATTTCCAATTTGTTCTGAGTTAGTGTCCTCTGCACTTGTTATGCTTGGGTTCTAAGGTTGCATTTTGTTCCTTCTCGTCATTTTGTGGAGCACTGTCTTCCGACCTTTATTGTAGATCTTTATTGTAGTTATAACCTTTGCACATACTGAAGTTCAGGTGCAGCTCTACAAAGTTTGGACTTATCCAGCTGTGCCTGGCTTGGGTCTGGTTGCTGTGCTCAGCTCCTTTCCGCTGCTGCCCTTGAGGGTGAACCTGTTGTGCCCCTGTGGCAAGATGTTCTGCTCCTGGACTAGCTGGGTGAATCTATCCTCTACACTCTCTTCAGGGATTGCAGCTGCGGGGTTATAACCCAGGCATATATGCCAGGCCTAAGGTGAGCCTGGAGGGGGCAAGTTGGAGTAGCGGGGAGAGAAAGCTCTCCCTTACACTCACTGGGTCTGGGCTATTACTTAGTCTGGGGGTTCCCGGAACGTGGCAGAAATTCCTACTGGTCAGGCAGGGTGGGAGATGTGCTGCGGAGTGGTGGGTGGCTTCCCAAGGGTGTGGGAGAGGGACAGGTCCCTCTGGTGCAGGGTAGCAAAAAGCTCTCCCACACACTCCTCGATTCCTTATTTTTCACTCTTTCAACCTAGGAGTAGAATTTCTGCATCATAGTGTATTTCTATGTTTAATTTTGAAGAACCACTCACAGTTCCTTCATCATTTTACCTTTCTATAAGTCATGTACTAGGGTTCTAATTCTTCACTAGTCTTAATATAATGACCATCATAATAAATATGAAGCAGCATTTCATTTGATTTTGATTTTCATTTCCCTGATAGCTAGTAATGCTAAGCATCTTTTCGTGTGCTTACACTGGTTATTTGTGTACCTACTTTGAAGAAATACCTATTCAAGTTATTTATTTGTCTTTCACAAATTTTAGAGGGTTTTTTTTTTTACCTATTTTGGATATTAACCCTATATTAAATATTAAGATATGTGATTTGCTGATATTTCCTGTTCTATAAGTTGCCTTTTTATTTTCATGATTGTGTGTTCTTTTGAAGTTTTTGAATCCCATAAAGTCCATTTTGTCTAATTTCTATTTTGTTGTCTCAGCTTCTAATATATATATATATATATATATATATATATATATATATAGAGAGAGAGAGAGAGAGAGAGAGAGAGAAAGAGAGAATCACCACTAAATCCAATGTCAGAAAAAACTCCTATATTATCTTTTAAGAGCTGTACAGCATCTTCTCTTATACTTAGGCTTTTGATCTAATATAAATTAACCAGGGCATACAGTTGTTTTAGCTCCATTTTTGTTGCTGTGATTCAATACCAAAAAAATGAGTAATATGTGGCAATTGTTTAATTCATTGTTTTGGAGGATAGTAAGTTCAGGAGTATCATGCTACTTTTGCTGTAATATCTAATGAGACTTTTTTTTTGTGGTACCAGGGATCAAACTGAGGACCTTGCTCTTGCCAGGCAAGCACTTATTCCACTGAGCTATCTCCCTGGTCCTGAGACTTTTCAAACTATATCATGGCACAGAGGGCAGCATCCAGTAGCTAGACAGAAAACCCATAAAAGAGGGAGGTCACTTTTATACCGCAGCCAGTTCCTTCATAACCCAAGGATTAAGGCCAAATATCCCACCTTTCAAATGCTATTAATAATCCCCTTAGATGCTAAGTTTCAACATGAACTTTAGAAAAAGCATCAAACCATGGGAATAGTAAGAGTACAACTCTTTCTTTTGCATGTAGATATATCGAATGTCCAGCACCATTTTTTCAGGGCACTGTCGTTTCCTCATCATAATGAACTCCTTGTTGGAAATCAATTAAACATGAGTTTGCTTCTGGGGTTTTGATTTTTTCCAGTTGTCTACACATTGGTCCCTATGCCTCATATACATTTCAACTAGATTTTCTAATTTTTTGTATGTTACTGTGTTTGCTTTATATCTCCTTTCTCCTTTGTACTTGTTTCTCTTTTTGCATGCTCGAGCACACACACACACACACACACACACACACACACACTTTTTTATCTGTAGGTAGTTGCAGATATCATAATCCTTTATCTCTAAAGAGTTCAGAGTGCATTACTTACAAGCAATATTCTCTTCTAATATGCATTTTCAATAGGTGTGGTATTATCCATAAGGGGGAAAATTGGTTCTATGAGCAAAAATAAATCTGAGATATCACTATGACCTATGATGCTCCCAAGCTTAACCACATCTAATAAAACCTTATCTCGTAAGATGTAGTTTTTCTTATTGAGTAAATTAATCTCATTTGAATGTCAATCGTAGTAATCACCTTAGTGAGACAATCACAAAAATAGTTGGAAAATATTGTCTTATAAAATGTCATATGAATTGTCAAAATCAGGACAGTAGTCTAATACTATCTACAGGCTTATTTTACATTTCACCAGTTATTCAATTAGTATCAAAAGAAAGAAAAGAAGATTCTAGCTCTTCCATTACTTGCCATCTCCAGAGGCTTAATCTTTCTTTTTTTTCCCCAGAGCAGTTCTAAAATATTTGTGTTTCATGACATTGGCATTTTGAAAACCAATTATTTTGAAGAACTTTATCTCAGATTTAACTGGTGCTTCCTCAAGACCAGAGTAGAGTTACACCATTTTGGCAGATATTTTCTTTATGACAGTCATTTTTTTAATCCTCCCTTTCTCAGAATGAAGCACTACTCTAAGCACTGAGAATTAGCAGAAAATTGAGCTAATATCCTAGGCAGAAGTTTCTAAAACATTGAAAATTGACTGTGTTTAGAATAAAAGGCTTAGCTTTGCGCAGTGACAGTATCGTAGCCAATGAGGTTTATCCGAGGCGCGATTATTGCTAATAGAATAAAAGGCTGAGAAATAGCCTTAGAAAGAGGTTGACCTTCTTCTTTATAGTCTTAACTTTAGGACCAAGTTTTTTATTGAAAACCAATATAAAGTACTGGAGATGAAGTAGATTTCCCAAGGAAATGCTGAGTTTCCTGCTGATCACAAGACAGCACTGTGAGTTGGTCAGGATTTGACCTCTGTCACTAGAGACATTTTAGTTGGTTGGGAACTGAGTTTCTTTCCCCTTGGGAAAGAAAAGCTTCATGAGCCTTGATAACCCTAATGTAGAGCAGAGAATGAAGTAGTACATATATCAAAGGGTGACTGTAAAGACTAAATATGGTAATCCACAAGAAGTCTTTGCTTAGTATCTAATATTTATAACAGTTTAATATTTTCATTGTAATTTCTAAGCAAAACATACTACTTAATTTATTATTTGTAAACAAGGTTGTTCTTGTTCACTAAGAAAGATTTTTAAAAAGCAAGGCCAGCTGTGGCTGAGGATTTAGTTCAATGGTAAAGGGCTTGCTCAGCAGGTACAAGTCCCAGGTACCATCCCCAGCACTGAAAATAATAAAAAAACAATACTAGAATAGAAAGGAGGTATATACCATTACTAGTTCTCTAACTACTACAATTTATAATTTATTATATCTTTTTAAAATTAATAAGTATCAACATTGTACTCACAGTATTTTTTTTCAAAGTAAATAGAACCTCTCAATACTGTGGGCCAATCCAGCATAGAGGACAGCTCCTTTCTACTGTAATTAGGTTTGTGTATTAGCTGAACTTAAGGTGACACATGAAGAGCTTATAGCAGTAAGTTTAGGCTCAGAGTGGATTTACTGAGTAGCTAAGGAAACTTCAGCTTTTCTCACTTCAGCACAAACCTTTTAGAAGAAACCACCTTTTCTCATTCTACCTATCTGTTCATATTCATGTATTCATAACACTACTCTTTGTTGGGTATCTGTACACAGAGAACTGAAGTTAAATTCTGGCTTGCCTATTGATGAGAAAAAAGAAACAGTCTTGGTTTTAGGATCTCACCTCAGGTTCTTATCTCAGAATTTTATGATGAAATGTGCAGTAAATAAAACACAATGACATGAAGGTAATGCCTTTTAAAGCATCATAATTTAAAGCAATTTCTTCAACCACATGTCTCTTCTCTCAGGGAGTAAATAGATCTTTTCGCTCTTAGGTAATTTTGTGTTACCATGTTGTGTCCTCATGTTGGGCACACGCCAGGTCGTTGTTACCAAAGTTTGTGCTTCCAAGGAGCTCATTAGCTTTAGTGAGTTGCCAGAATAAGGTTACTTTGGCTAGGAAGCACACTGCTGATGGTTTCCCATCCTTCAGAACAATATGTGGAGGAACTGCTGATTATGATAAATAAGCAGGCATTTTAAATTGTTCTGTATTTTAAAATGTCCTAGGTTATGGTGATCCTTTGGAGATAGAGAACAGAGGGGAGGTGAAGAGAGAGGTTGAGCAACATGGCATTGATGGTGCCCTATGGAGGAATGTGGTACAATGAGCAACTGCAATGAAGGGAGATGGTTGAAGAATCTTAGAATTATCCAGTATTAACATTAGAAAAGTCACCATGTGGAAATACAATGTAGTTTCTGCCTTCCTCCTACTACAAGGTCTGGTATTTAAAACAAGTATCTAGCTGACTGCTACTCCATAATGAATAAAGGAACTGGGCAGGATTCCATTTCTATATTGGTGTGGGATCAGAAAAAGACAGCTGCAGGAAAACAGGGCAAATGAGATGAAACGGCAAAATTATAAGAGGGTTTGTATTTGTATTACACAAAGAAGAATAGGTTTAAATCAATTATAAGCACTGTTAGGTATATCAAAGTGATACAGGATATGCGTGGGGACTTGCTTCGGTGATAATGGAAATTAAAACAGGCAGCATCAATAAATCACACCCAAAAGTATTAATGGAGAAATTTGAAAGGGAGGAGAGGGACAGCACTGATAGAGAATAATTATAAGCTCCCCACCCTTCCTTAACAAAGAAAGGGCCTGGCTTTTGTACAGTTGCATTGGGATTTAGTTGGGAGTTTTTCTAGAAACTTCTCTTTGTGTTTTAAAGAGATATTTTTTTTCCTAGTGTAAGTTATAGATCAAAGGAAATCCTTCTTCTTGAAGACATCACACCCACTCCCTGCTATAACAGGGACAATCTGTTCTTTGTAGTAAGAGTAGAGAGATAAGGGAAGGATGCCTCTCACATACGGGTAGCAAGGCATGGCACCATACTGATAGTGGGTTAAGGACAGAGCATTCCCCTATCTCTTGTTCTCATTAGGACATATATTCTATTTTAATAGGACATCTGAGATAACTATGTATGTGAAGGAGTCATCAGACACTTAACAACCAGAGTTTTGTTCCATACATATGGAAGTTATCTTCCCTAGTGTACTGGAGGAAAGAACAGCAAGCAGCAGCGGGAAGAATCTTGCAGTGCTCAACCTATGTGCATACAACTGCTCTTCTTTATGGAAAAGACAAAAAGGAGTTCTCAGAATTGAGAAACAGAACAGGTACAGAAAGGAGTAAAAGGAGAAGAATTGGAGGTCTTTGACACGGGTACCACTTTCTCAAAAATTTGAGGTGTCTCTGGGAAATCAGTTTATTTTTTACATTCTTTATATATAAACCATTCAAATAACTATCTCTCCAAAGGTGATCAGTCTTTTAGGATTGAGGCCTTCTGTTTCTCTAATAGGATGCTTTTTGTTTTGTTTTATTTTGCTTTAGGTAGATGGCATATTATTTCTTAATCACCAACAAGTGCTTTTGGTCATAGTTATGGATTATATTGTAATGCCTCATTTCTATGATCACTCATAATGTACCGACTTTTTTCTTCCTATAGAAAATTCTTCTATATTACCCTCGGTATGACTTCCTCTATCCAAACAGAATATTCATTCCTCTTGATTCTTCGTTTCAATTAAGTTTTGAGCAGAAATTCCAATTGACACCAATTTTCATTGCCAGTGAAGCATACTAAAATTTGGACACAACTTCTTTCAAATGTCCAGAAACTCTTACCAAAGTTTGTGCTTCCAAGGAGCTCATTAGCTTTAGTGAGTTGCCAGAATAAGGTTTCCCATCCTTCAGAACAATATGTGGAGGAACTGCTGATTATGAAAACATTTCTCATTCAGGTTTACAATTAGGATAAAGTGGCTGCTATTGTTTGAAACCAGTGTGTTTTGATTCTTCAGTGGAATTTCCTTCTGTCTGTTTATCAAAGTTAAATAATAATTACTGGTGGTAAAATATACATGGCAATCTTATCGGGTCAGAAGTTGAGTTTATCCCATTTAGCAAAGAGCTCTCTTATTATCTCCACGTTAAATTACATTACCTTTGAAGTTTTGATCTTTATCCAAATGAATTGTGTTTCTTAATAAAAACAGAAATCCAAAGGCTGTGAGCAAGTACAACCAAACATAAGGGAAACAAACCTAAGTGAGCAGTGGAAGTTTAAATCTGGCTAGTCTATGCTATCACACAGAAGATGCAAACCTAATTTTTAGGGCATATGTGGGAAATAAGAAAGTGGTCATCAGCAGACTAAAGCTCTGGACACTAGGTCAGAGGCAGAGCTTAGAATGATTACTAGAGTGTTTGAGTGGTTCTTGGCCACAAAGTAGATTCATCTAGAACTTCAAAAAAAAAGCATTATTTGGAATGAGGGTTCTTGTATTTATAATGAAGGTAAGGATCTCAGAATGCAATTGATCCTGCATTCCTAGATCAAGTATCCCTTTAAGAGACAAAAAAGAAGATGGAGACACACATAAGAAGGTTCTATGAAGACAAAGGCAAGTCAAGGAATTCTGTGAAGCTGTCAAAGAAAGAGCCTTCTCTAGGACTCTCCATGCATTGGGAACATGATGTTGCAAACCCCTTGGCTTCCAACTCCTGACATTCACAACTGTGTGAGAATAAATTTTGGTTGTACAAAGGTACCAAATGGTGATAAATTGTTCAGTCATATCTAGAAAACTAATGGAATGGCCTTGATAAAATATTCTAGCAATGGGTTTTCAAAGTAAGGAGGACTAGATCTGAGTAATTGACTCACAGTTCTATTGGTGACTGGAAGTCGTCTGGTGTGAGCTCAGGCCTACAGACTCAGGTAAGAGCTTCTCCCTAGGGTAAGATCACGTGCAGTTGGACCAGGTTGGTTGAGTTCATTGTCCTCTGCCATGACTCTTTCCATACCTTTCTCATAACAAGTGGGAGACAACATCAGACTTAAAGGACTATTGCGAGACTTCTGAGAAAATCAGGACCACTATTAACAATGAGAACTTGGATGCAATAAATGTTTCTAGAGAATGTGGCCCAGTGTGTGTTCAAAGTAGCTTATTCTTACACACCATGGAGGGGCTTATTCTGCTGATGACACTATTTATCAACAAGAATGCCAAGGCTTGAATCCCACAAATGGCCAGAAACTTCCTAGTAATAACCGCATCACAAAGTATTCTCTTTTGTCTTCCTTCTCTGGTTTGCACTGAGTATTAAATGATTCCTTTTATTCCATCTTTTAGCATATTGATTACATTTCTTTGTAAACATTTTAATGCATGCCAGCAGAGTTTGGAACACACATTTTTTAAAACTAAATCCCCCTGCAAATGACACAACAATGCTACACCACTTCAGGTGTAGTGTGGTACCTCACAGCTCACTATGTTCAGTTGTTCACTCATTTCTTATGACATTGTTGTCATTAATGTCAGTAAAATGCTGTAATCATACAATCCATTATTACCATTATTACGTGAAATAGTTATGTTTTAGATAATATACAAATAAGAAAAATTTAAAAGTAAGATTTTATTTTATCTTCACTTATTCCTTTTCTTGTGCTTTGTTTATTTTTGTGTTGATCCCAGTGCCTAAGCTGTAATTTCCCTTAAGGCTGACAAGCTTATTTTAAAATCACTTTTGAGACCAATCTTTTAGCAATGCATTAACTCACTTTCCATTTCTGTGAAAAAGCAGGTATTTCTTCTTCATCTTTAAAGCATATATTTGATA